TTAGCAGAGAAGCAGCAAAGGGTGACCATGACACACATAGATACAACCCAAATAAATTGAAACCTTTTGATGCAATCACTACTACTTATTAAAAAAAATAAGAGTAATAGAAATGTCTATTACTAATCAAAATAGAAATATTAGTAATAATAATAGAAAAATGCATATGACATTCAAGTTCATTATTTGCTAACATATATAAAGATGTAGATATTTGATAGCTACGTTTACATATGCAATATATATGATAAAAACAAATGCAATCTTTTTTTTCTTCATAAATATTTTCTTCATTTGTCTTCATCCCCTATATTCAGATAACTCCTTTCCCTAAAGATGTATGCATACATTATGCACTTCAGGGGGTCTATTTTGTTTTTCCTTTTGTTCTTTCACATAATAGTAATTTTTATAAGTTCAACACTAGCTCACTTCATAAGGCATTTCTCCGTATATCAAACATAATAGCAAATCTTTGGAAATAATTTTTATTTTGGAATAACCAGGATTTCCTCTGGGCTTGCTGGCTGGGGATTTTATGAGTTTAGTAAAAAGAAAGTAACTTTTCCAAGGTCTGCATAATATCTATGTTCTGATATAATGGCAAGTTTTGAGAAAGAACAAGTAGATATGCAAACAATTGCCCTTTCTCACGATCACAAATTTAGTGACAACTTTTCTTTTCATTTAGAATGACCACAGTTTAGCATATCCAACAACTATATTGTTGTAAATTTTTATTATCTCTAGTCGAAACTGGTAAGCTTTAAAAACTGTGGATAGAAGTTGACTTATTTTCAGTAATCATGGTGAAGTAGATGTCAAAAGGAATGAATATCATATCAAAAGATGATACCATATAGTTCCAATGTTTTTCTCACAGAGGGTCATGGCAGATCTTAATTTAAAGACTAGCTGAAAGTTACATTTTCTGTTTAATCTACAATAAATATTGGGTTTTTAAAAAGAAAATAAATCACTGTTTCTCAGTATATAGATTGCAGGTAGAGTGAACCCAATTCAAATCAAGATCCTAGTTGATAGAGGTGGGCACAGTATTTGTTCCATTTGTTTCATTCAGGTATTCATTTCGTACCATCCATTCAGATGGCGTGAAATGAAAGAGCCGTTTTCAGATGAAACAAAAAGCGAAATGAAAGAGAAAGTTACACAGTTTCAGTTTTTTTGTTTGGTTTTCAGCCCGCATGGCTTTCCTCACATGACCCACAGAGTTCTTCCACATGTGTCAGAGGAGGAGGAGGAGGAGGAGGAGGTGGTGGTGGTGTTTGGGCCAATCAGAGCCGCCCAAGAAAACAGTGCCGTCGCCAAGCTATAGGTCTCCTCTGCAGCTTCAGAGGAAAACGTCTCAGAATCAGTGGGATCTTAAGCCCTGCCTTTAACTTCAAGGCTCCTGTGCATATCCAGAGGGAAACCTCTCAGAATCAGTAGTGTCTTAATACCTTCCTTTAACCTCAGGGCCCCACGACCCAAATGTTAGAAAACTTGGTGGACTAAAAGTGGTCAATGTGCCCTCCGTGTGCAGTAATTTTCAGCCCTCTAGTCCTAAAACTGAGGGGAAGGGGAGCTTGGGAAGGTTGACCAATGGTCCAAAAATGTTTTTCATTTGGGCGAAATAACAAAACAGCTTATTTGGAAAGGCCCCATTTTCAGAAGCAGTGCTCAAAAACAAAAACAGGGCCATATAAATGAAACAAACCAAAATGGATAGTGATTCTATACAAATACACAAGACTACTAGTCGAGTATCCAACCACCACCATCACCCTGATTTTGCATTCCAGTGTATAACAAGGTTCCTTCACTTCCCTTAGAACAGTGGGTCCCCAGGTGTTTTGGCTTACAACTCCTAGAAAGCCCAGCCAGTTTACCAGCTGTTAGGATTTCTGAGAGTTGAAGGCCAAAACGTCTGGGGATCCACAGGTTGAGAACCACTGCCTGTTGCATCCCAGTTCAAGAAACAAGACCATAAGATTAAATCCACCACTCTGGACTGTAGGAAAAGCAATCCTTGTTTATTGATGAAAAATTGGTTACAAAAGAAAGGTAAATGCAGAGTCAAAAAGCCACAGAAAAACACAGTAGTCAATAGGATCTCTGAACTTGAGCAAAACTTCAAAAGCCACAAAACAATAACCAGGAGTCTGTTAGCCTTTTACTAACCATGAACTTGGAAACTAGAAGCCTCTGGGATTACTGGCCATGGAACACAGGAATTCTGCCAAGGCACAGCCACAGTCCCGAACGTTGCTTGACCTAAAGAAGCACCCGGCAGGAACCCTCTTAAACCAAAGAAGCTATTCTTAGAAATGCCCCTTGACTTTTCTGTCTGGGCCTCTTTCTGCTGTAAGCGCTGTGACCTTCGTAGAGACTGGGAAACATTTCTATCTCTGACTATCTGTTCTCTTCGGTCCTCATTAGAAACCCCAGGTAGAGAGATATCACGGCTAACTTCCAAAACATTCTCTTCCAGCTGTTGGGTTTCGTTTTCATCCCCACTGACCTCTGCATCAACAACAGATTCCACACTGTCAGAGTCAGGGAGAGCTTGCTCAGTTGGAAAAACTATCAGAGAATCCTGTTCACACAGATCAGGATCAGGCTGAACCCCAACACTGCCTTAGAATAAAACAGAAAAAAGATGTGTAGCTCCTTTCTACATCTTTAAAGTAATAACTTCGATAGTCTTCATTGTCTGGTTTCCTGCCAGTTGTAAAAAGAACATTTCATTTAGATAGCATTTCTGTTTCTGATTTGTATAAAGCTGTGACATAAGTAATGAATCATGTTATTATTGTGTGTGTGTTTGCAGACTGCATTCATATTAAAGAAGTATAGCATGTGGGGTTTTCCATCTTGATTGTACTATGTAAAGAAATTGACTGAGGTGCATTTTAAATTTAATTAGCTATAATCTGTGTTGAAGCAGTTCATAACCTTGTTATTTAGTTTAATTAAGAAATAAGAACTGTGTTTTTTGTAAACAAGGAAATTGTCCTCTTTATTGAAGACAAAGCACTGCTGTTTTTACCACAATGGACAGTACTCTATTGATTCTTTTACCTCATTTACATCTAATTAGTGCTTTGAAATGAAGATTATATTAGATCAGATTCTCTTGATTTAATTTTAATAGATTAAAGCATAATTCTACAGGTGGACTTGAAAGGATCTGTTTGAGAAACATGCAACGTATTCTGTTTGAAGAGATTATCACAATTATCGTAGCATCACTGTCATCTTATCAGGGCTTAGAATATTTATTTTGTTTTGCTTTCTATACAAACAAATTGGTGATTAACTATATGAATTTATATATGTTAACTCAGAAGTAAGCATTATTGAGTTCAGTAGGATTTATTACTAATAATGTATGTTCAAGTTTCAGCTTCAGGTGTATTGTAATTGGCATAGCTGACAATTTGCATCAACAGTGCAGGCAACTTTTGACCACCACCTTGCATAGCAGGATGGTTGGTTGTCATCATTCAGTGAGTGACCAACTAAATTGCAAGCTTCAACCTATGGCATTCCCAGTTAAAAGGATTTATGTTAGCAACCATCCAATAACTGGGAGGTTATGTTAGCTATCCTTCCTTCTAGGAATATTAATCTCCCTTTGGAATATTAACTTTTTGACTTGAAACTAGGTCCTACTCATGGTATGACAATAATACTTTCATATTTGGAAGCATCTGCTCTGATTACCTGAAATATAAAGACTTTGTTGTTATCCTTATATGCGTTCAAGTTGGCTTTGACTTATTTTGATCCTATCTTAGGGTTTTCGTGGTCAGATTTATTCTGATGATATTTGTCACTGTCAGCTTCTAAGCTGGGTGTGTCCTGACCAAGATCACTCAGTGGGTTTCTGTAGCTGAACAGTCATTTGTACCCTAGACTCCCAGTGCCTAGTTCAGTACTTCAAATACTATACAAAACTGGCTCTCCTTGTTAGAACAAAGCCCCCCTCCCTGTATGTGACATCCTGAACTTGAAACTGGCACTACATCCTGAATGAGAATCAAAACATTCAATGTATCTAACATGATGCCCTGATTGATGATGTCTATTACAGAGAAGCAGACAATACACAGGACACATGTGCACACATTTCACACAATACACTTGGGATAATGACTGGGATTCACAAAAAGAAATGTGCATTATCATATCCACATTAGGGATGAAAAGAATATTCAAAGACTTGTGGGGAGGATGAAAAAAGAAACTTGTCACATGTTGGGAAAATCCAATGAAAAAGGTTTCCTCTTTTTTGTCTTCCTCAAGTCTTCAAATCACCTTTTCATTGTTATTCCCCAACACAGTCATGTAGTGAGGAAGTATCATTTTGACCATCTTCTGATAACTGGTGCATGATTATGTATAATCTGGAAGATACATACATCATTGTACACTGGCTGCCAAGAACGTAACCAGAGCAAGAATATAAGCAGAAGCAATCCTTGGCAGCCTTTTGTTCTGCTGCTCCCCAGCATTCCCATGTTGTCCATCAATGATTTTCCTCTAATGTCAAGGATAATGCCACAGGAGGTCTTGCGATATAAAGGTATCATATGCCGGGTGTCTTTTGGAGGTTCTGGCAGCCGATGCCGTCACTGTACATTGGATGTCTTATTGAGTCCCTGGAGGCTCATGTCATCGTCATCATGCATGGCGATTACACCTCTATTTTACATACCCAGACAATGTTCCTATTATCGATATCAATTAAAGCCACTTTTGAAAGTGCAGGGATTTAAAAAACAAGAACTTTTGGGACAGTGTCAAGAAGCTTAACACAAAAATAAAAACATTTTTTGATTAATCGAAGTTCTTGAGCTTGTTTAAAGCATTTTTTTTAAGATTCTGGCTGCTAATCCTAATTTGTACAACCTCTGTAGCTGTGAAAAATGAAGGTTGTGTATGTTAAATGTATATGTATGCCACCATCTAAGCAATCTTTACAATTATCTTTTCAGAATGAGAAATCTCCAGGCCGCTCTACAAGTCGATCAAGTAACATTTCAAAGGTAAGTTACTCTCAGAAAAATCTACTGTGACAGATTATTTTGACTGTAATTTGAGGCACATTTCCTTTGCAGTGATTCCGCCGAAAAATGATGGGATATGCTTAAATATCTGAAGGGCAAAGCCACTTGTTTATTTTGCCATTATTGTGATTGTCTCTTAATGACAAACATATCAATATTTTTTATTTGTTGAGCACATTATTCTCAGGTAATGTGCAGATTCAACAAGATTTATGTCTTTAGGATGTGATATTTAATCAGTATTTACTTTTGAAGTCCCATTACTTTTGAAATGGATGAGAGAAACAAATCAAACTTTAATCCTGGCAAGACAGAGGTACTTCTGAGCCCTGAAAAGACAGATCAGTTAATAGAGATTCCTATTCCAATTGTGACTTTGTGGAATGTCAGATCTATGGCTTGGATTCAATCCTGAGCTTGGAAGCCCAGCTTTTGGCAGTAGCCAGCAGCATATTTACACAGTTCAACTCATTCTTTGAGGTGTCAGACTAGCTATGGGAACACATATCTTGTTTGATTTACTGTAATGAGTTCTGCATTTGGAAACAGGAAAATTTAGTAAAGCCAAAGTACCATGACCAGATATCTGCCTATAGCTGGCTACAAGATAGAGAGAACTCCTCTAAATTTTCACTAGCTATCAGTTTATTTCCAGGTTGACTGATTATAAAGAGAACATTTTAATCAAATTCATTTATAATGAAATCTACAAAAGTCAAAACCAGAATTTGAACTGTTAAAATAAAAGAGATACAAATAAAAAAGTTACTGCACTTTGTACTTATCCCAAAACACTGTGCCTTAGTTTGTTCATCTTATTTAAAAGCTTATTCTAAATTATAGGTCAACAAGACACAAACAAAAAGAAATCCTGTAAGATCATTTCGTGGTGATTAATAGGACACCCGTCTGAAAGCTCAGTTGTTGTGTGTGGTACATTTATTGGGGGGGGGGGGTTGCCCATTAATTACTGCCTTGTGCTTTCCCTCCCTGAGGTGGAGGCAGCCCAAAAGCAGGCAGCCATGTAAGTGTTGTCTACCCTTGTGAAACTGGGCTTGGCACCTGCTGCAACTTTTCTTTCTTACCCACTTGCCCCTTGGCTTGTTCTCCATGTCACAAGTCCTCTACTGGTTTTTCTCTTATTCCTTGGCTTTCTGACCACCTCCCAAGTCTTCTCCTGGCTTTTCTTTTTTGCATTTTCTATCTGGCTTCCTCTTTGCCTTCAAACTTTCTTCCTGGCTTCTCCCCAAGCGCATACAACCCACGGCTTTCTCCCCTCCTTCACCCCTTTGCTTTCTGCCTGTCTCCCAAGCTTCTCCTGGCTTAGCCCTTGCTTTACCATGTTATGTAATGCGCATGCTGATTTTAGCAACATAATTTATTAAAAAAAGATCTGCATTATATTTGAGTAAATACAATAATAGTGTTAAATCATCAGCAGAGTTTCATCAGATTTTTTAAAAAAATGTTTACTTCCTAATTGTTGTCAAATTTGGGGTCTTTTTATTATCTTTAGTAGAGATCCACAAAGGATCACCAGCAAAGGATCACCGCCTTGTCAGGGCGCTGGAGCTTGAGCACCTCAATGATGTCATGAGCGAAACCGTGAAGGGCCACCCAAGACGGGACGGTTGTGGCAGAGAGGTCAGACCAAGCGTGATCCCTGGGGAAGGCAATGGCAAACCACTCCAGTATCCTTGCCAAGAAAACTAAATGGACCAGTACAACCAGAGACATGTCGGTATGCCATTGGAAGATGGGACTCCCAGGTCGGAAGAGGGCCAAAATGCTACTGGGGAGGAGCAGAGGATAAGTTCAACTAGCCCCAGATGTGATGACGCAGCTAGCTCAAAGCCGAAAGGAAGGCTAGCGGCCGACGGTACTGGAGGTGAACGACGAATCCGATGCTCTAAAGATCAACACACCATAGGAACCTGGAATGTAAGATCTATGAGCCAGGGCAAATTGGATGTTGTTATTGGCGAGATGTCAAGACTAAAGATAGACATTCTGGGGGTCAGCGAACTGAAGTGGACTGGAATGGGCCACTTCACATCAGAAGACCACCAGATCTACTACTGCGGACAAGAGGAACATCGAAGAAATGGAGTAGCCTTCATAATTAATAAGAAATTCGCTAAAGCGGTGCTTGGATACAACCCAAAAAATGACAGAATGATCTCAATTCGAGTGCAAGGAAAGCCTTTCAGCATTACAGTGATCCAAATATACGCCCCAACCACAGCTGCTGAAGAAGCAGAAGTAGATCAGTTCTATGAGGATCTGCAGGACCTACTGGATAATACACCAAAAAGAGACATTATTTTCATTACAGGAGACTGGAATGCAAAGGTGGGAAGTCAAATGACAACCGGGATCACAGGCAAGCATGGTCTGGGAGAACAAAATGAAGCGGGACGCAGGCTGATAGAATTTTGCCAGGAAAACTCGCTGTGTATAACGAATACTCTCTTCCAACAACCTAAAAGACGGCTTTATACATGGACCACCAGATGGTCAACACCGAAATCAGATTGACTACATCCTTTGCAGCCAAAGGTGGCGGACATCCATCCAGTCGGTGAAAACAAGACCTGGGGCTGACTGTAGATCAGATCACGAACTTCTTATTGCTCAATTTAGAATAAAACTAAAGAGATCAGGGAAAATACACAGACCAGTTAGATATGATCTCACTAACATTCCTAGCGAATATGCAGTGGAAGTGAAGAACAGATTTGAAGGACTAGATTTAGTAAACAGAGTCCCAGAAGAACTATGGACAGAAGTCCGAGACATTGTTCAGGAGGCGGCAACAAAATATGTCCCAAAGAAAAAGAAAACCAAGAAGGCAAAATGGTTGTCTGCTGAGACACTGGAAGTAGCCCAAGAAAGGAGGAAAGCAAAAGGAAACAGGGTTAAGGGGAGATATGCCCAGTTAAATGCGCAATTCCAGAGGTTAGCCAGAAGAGATAAGGAACTATTTTTAAATAAGCAATGCATGGAAGTGGAAGAAGACAACAAAATAGGAAGGACAAGAGACCTCTTCCAGAAAATTAGAAACATTGGAGGTAAATTTCAGGCAAAAATTGGTATGATAAGAAACAAAGATGGCAGGGACCTAACAGAAGCTGAAGAGATCAAGAGAAGGTGGCGAGACTATACAGAAGATCTGTATAGGAAGGATAATAATATCGAGGATAGTTTTGTCGGTGTGGTGAGTGAATTGGAACCAGACATCCTGAGGAGTGAGGTTGAATGGGCCTTAAGAAGCATTGCTAACAAAAAGGCAGCAGGAGACACGGGATCCCAGCTGAACTGTTTAAAATCTTAAAAGATGATGCTGTCAAGGTGATGCATGCCATTGCCAGCAAATATGGAAAACACAAGAATGGCCATCAGACTGGGAAAAAATCAACTTATATCCCCATACCAAAAAAGGGAAATGCGAAAGACTGCTCAAACTTCCGTACAGTGGCCCTTATTTCTCATGCCAGTAAGGTAATGCTCAAGATCCTGCAAGGAAGACTCCAGCAATACATGGAGCGAGAGTTGCCAGATGTTCAAGCTGGGTTTAGAAAAAGTAGAGGAACGAGAGACCAAATTGCCAATATCCGCTGGATAATGGAGAAAGGCAGGGAGTTTCAGAAAAACATCTACTTCTGCTTCATTGACTATTCTAAAGCCTTTGACTGTGTGGATCATAATAAATTGTGGCAAGTTCTTAGTGGGATGGGCATCCCAAGCCACCTTGTCTCTCTCCTGAGGAATCTGTACAAGGACCAAGTAGCAACAGTACAGAACTGACCATGGAACAACAGAGTGGTTCAAGATTGGGAAAGGCGTACGGCAAGGCTGCATCCTCTCACCCAACCTTTTTAACTTGTATGCAGAACACATCATGCGATGTGCGGGGCTGGATGAATGCAAAGCTGGGGTGAAAATTGCTGGAAGAAACATTAACAACCTCAGATATGCAGATGACACCACTCTGATGGCCGAAAGCGAGGAGGAGCTGAGGAGCCTTCTAATCAAGGTGAAAGAAGAAAGCGCAAAAGCCGGGTTGAAGCTAAACGTCAAAAAAAACCAAGATTATGGCAACAAGAATGATTGACAACTGGAAAATAGAGGGAGAAACCGTGGAGGCCGTGACAGACTTTGTATTTCTAGGTGCAAAGATTACTGCAGATGCAGACTGTAGCCAGGAAATCAGAAGACGCTTACTTCTTGGGAGGAGAGCAATGCCCAATCTCGATAAAATAGTAAAGAGTAGAGACATCAGACTGGCAACAAAGATCCGCCTAGTCAAAGCCATGGTATTCCCTGTAGTAACCTACGGATGTGAGAGCTGGACCTTAGGGAAGGCTGAGCGAAGGAAGATCGATGCTTTTGAGCTGTGGTGTTGGAGGAAAGATCGGAGAGTGCCTTGGACTGCGAGAAGATCCAACCAGTCCATCCTCCAGGAAATAAAGCCCGACTGCTCACTGGAGGGAAGGATACTAGAGACAAAGTTGAAGTACTTTGGCCACATCATGAGGAGACAGGAAAGCTTAGAGGAGACAATTATGCTGGTGAAAATGGAAGGAAAAAGGAAGAGGGGCCGACCAAGGGCAAGATGGATGGATGGCATCCTTGAAGTGACTGGATTGACCTTGAAGGAGCTGGGGGTGGTGACGGCCGACAGGAAGCTCTGGCGTGGGCTGGTCCATGAGGTCACGAAGAGTCGGAGACGACTGAACGAATGAACAACAACAAGAGATCCACATCTTTCGTCCTTTATGAGCAACAAAGCCATTGCTGGAAGTGACACAGACAGTATGCTATAGTTTATTTAACTGAATCTGTAACCTGTCTTTCCAGTAAAAGTACTGTATTCACCTTTGTGAGACACACAATTGAATGTAAACTATAATATGTCAGTAGCAATGGGGTGACTTCTACACTTTAATATGATTATCTCTCTGCAGTGTTATTTAATG